TATCGAGAGAGAGAGAGAGAGAGAGAGTCTCTTCCTTAGGGCATGGTCCGTCCCCGATCCCCGCCGGCTTCCCGGGCAGCCTCCCCGGAGCGACCGGGAGGGCTGGGCGCGCGGGTCGCAGGAGCGGCGGCGGCGGGCTGGTGGAGCGGCGGCGGCGTCTCTCTCTGCGTGCTCCTGGGCGGCGCGGGTTCCCCGAGAGGGAAAGGCCACTTCCTTCCCTGCGCCGAGTGTTTATAGTCGTTGAATGCTGTAAAATAACGGGATTCCCTCACTGTTTCCTCCTGTTTATGCCCAGCGCCATGGAAACCCTTGGAGCGGCTCCCGGGCCCGAGCGGAGGGCTTTCCTGCACACTTCCAAGCCATGACGTCGCCCCGCGCCGCGGCCAACTGGCGGCCCTGCGGCTCTCCTCGCTGGCTCGCTCCCTCGCTCGCTGCGCCCGGACGGCCCGGCCCGGCTGCTGCACAAGCGCCGGATTGTTCGGCCGCAACCCCGGAGAGTCCGGCCCGGGGGTGGGTGGGGGGGATGGATCTGAATCCCCCCCCCTTTCTCAGAAGCACAGATTTGATTTGATTTTGCTTCAACAGAAGGCGATCCCAGGACCGCTGCAGAATGTGCATGACGTTGGCTTTCAAGGAGCAGGGATGCATTCCGGGGGGCGCCAGCCAACCCCGCGTGGGCTAAAGTCGGTCTTGGCGTGCGGCCGGATCCCGGGCTTGTTGACTCTGCAGTAAGGCCAGCTGAGCGATGGGTCTTGGCCCCAGGGGAATGCGCAGGCGCCCCCGAGTCAGTGACGCAGGTGCTGAACAACAACAACAATATTAGCAATAGTGATTATTGTCATCAGGATTGCTATTTCGCCACTGAAATGTATAGGACTTCAAAAATGAGCCCTTCCCCCAGTTGCAACCCTTTCCGGCCACTCTGTGCCAAATGTAGCCATTCCAACCTTTAATGTTTATTTATTGAAAGATTTATACCCCACCTTTCTCCACATTGGGAACCCAAAGTGGCTGACAGCACTCTTTTCTCTGCCTCCCATTTCTCCTTGCAACAACAGCCCTGTGAGGTAGGTCAGGCTGAGAAAGAGACCGGCCACTCCACACCCTTCCATTGCTGAGCAGGGATTCAAACCCTGGCCTCTCTAGTCCCACACTCATGCTGATTTGTTGGAGGGCAGGAAATGATGGGGACCCTTGTACGGAACCTCTTTGGGCATGGGAGGTGTAGGGGAGGACACATGGCTGTTCTGCGCTCCTTTTAAGGAGGCACCTTCAGGGGTCATTTTGCAGAAAAAGAGCTAGGGGAACGCATTAGCATAACTCATTAGCATATGCCACACCCCCTGACATCACCGGAAGTGTGTCATAAGGCCACACACCCCGCCCCCAACGGTCCCGGCCGCCGGTGCCGGCCTTGCAGCTCCACGGCCGCAGAC